AGAAATCCCATCTGCAATTTATACCATAAATCCAGCGACTCGCCTTTAGGGCCGGTTCACACCATAAAGAGTGCGTTCCAGAGCGTTCGGCCCCTGGAATGCACTGGAACGCAACCCGGACGGCTCCCTGCGTTCACGGGTGGGAGGGGGCATGGCGGTGCATTGAAGTCAATGGCACCGGAGCCACACTCCCCGCCCACAGTGCAATCACCGTCACCCGGACGCGTGGCACATTAAGTGCCTGCGTTCCAGGCCAGTCCAATCTGCAAAAATAGTGCTTGCAGCAATAGTGAATAGTGCTTGCAGTATTTTTTGTAGATCGCACTGGACCGGAATGCAGGCACTAATGTGCCACACATTCTGGTGCTGGCGGGGGGCGTGGCTGAGGTGCCATTGACTTCCACGCCCCCTCCCGCCCCTGAAAGCAGGGAGCCGGCCAGGTTGCGTTCCAGAGACCGGACCATATGGAACGCACTCTTTACAGTGTGAACCAGCCCTTAGTCAGATGGCTTAGGCTTCTTGCATAGGGCCTGAAATGGCCATACAGCACACAGATCAGGAGTATTTCTCTTCCCCGGAGCCACAGGTATGCCACATACCTGCATGCAGCGAGACTGTAAAGATGAATGACAGGCTGACTGATGTCGCAGCTGTAACGGTATTTACATAAATTCTATTGTTTACATGTGCACAGGGACTTACATACTGCCCCAACCATAGACCCTCTGCCATTTCCGGCCATCTACATGAAACCTTCTTCTGAAGTTTCAATCAGTCAAAGCCGATGACAAGGCAGGCTGCTGCTGTGTTCCCTTTAGATAACCCACAGAGCTCTGGGGATCTATTGTCATGTAATATATGATTGTGTATAACAAAGATTGTATACATATAGTTAAAGGAGTTGTAAAGTCCCAGCATATCCTATCTTGTTATAACATCAGCATTTTAATAGGAATACATACTAGTTATTTTTGATAATGTAATCAAAGCTTACTTTAAAAAATCCCTTTTATGTAGTGAATGCTGCCTTCCTTCTGTTTATCACTTTCAACAACTTGGTGGAGTCCCAGTGTGCATCTCTTTCTCTGCTGCTTGATGTGATGTCATCTCGACTTCTCTTGAAGACTACATAACCCATCATTCATTTTTTCCAGCAAGCAATGATGATGTTGCATTGCGGGAAGTTGAGACGTTGAGTTGTAGTTCAGAAGGCAGGCTTAGTTCGAGTGGTGACACAAGGAAGTGTAAATTTACAGGACTGAGTGAAATGTTGTCACTGCATTGAGGAAGTACATCCCATGGGCATCTTCAATAAGTAAGTTTACAAACTCCTAGACCGATATGGTTATCAATAGTGGAATAAAATTTATGGAAATTCATTATAAAAATGCATATTTATTTTTAGTTTTTGACCATAGATAACAGCATATACACTGAGTGGCCAGATTATTAGGACCACCCCATCAGTACTTCGTTGGGCCACCAGATGACTCCACGAGATGACTTTGTTGGGCCGCCTCCTGACTCCACGAGATGTTGAAAGGTGATGCGAGGAATCTGGCACTGCACTGTTACCCTTCTGTTGTCTTGCACCAGTCTTGCCACTCTCCGTTCTGCCCTAACATTGACTAGTCGCTGACGGCCACAATTCGCACATTCAGACCCAGATTTTCGGCTGGCAGTCCAGTCTTTAAACACCTTAACAACAGCTGCTGTTGAACATTTAAATAATTCTGCTGTTTTGCTGATACTCGCTCCATGGCTCCGAGCGCCAACAATCATCCCACTTACAAAGGCTGTTAAATCGCGTTGTTTCCCCATATCTTCAGAAACAAATCACTTCTACTGTCGTGGTAAACAACCTGCTTCCCTATTTATAATGGTCTGGCCCTCTAGCAACTTCATCGCCAAATTATAGCTAATTTGCCTACAAACGTCAGGTGGTCATAATAATCTGGCCACTCAGTGTATATATAAAATAGATTAAAAATGCTTAAACCTGGAAAAATGTATATTGGCCCAAAGCAATTATAGTTTCACATTAAAGAGACACTTTCACTTTGCCCATAACGGCTATGGAATCTGCCCTTAATCACAAGGACGAAGGACCTGATGGGGAACTAGTCTCTCAGTATCCACATCAGTCTCCGCCCACTGTCAATGTGCATCCCCTGCATCCTAGCAACAAATAAAGCTTTGCAGCAGACAGCGTTCTAGCAACCAGTGAAAGGGGAGGAGGGTTTGGAGAATGCAAGCTGAACTTTTAGGCACAGTACACTGTTCCGAGTAAACAACCCCACTCTGGTCTGTCCCTGTACACCAACATAGAGTTGGCCTTAATTAACACCAGTTTCTTTATCTACGACCTAGCAGTAATTCTTTTGGAATTTCGGAACTGTCACAACTTTCATGATTTAAGCACAAATCTTTCTAATGCCTCAATACTGCCAGAACAGTGTTGCAAATGCTTTTTTTGAATTGTCCTACAATGTCTTTATATAGTTTGATACATGAACAGTCTGTCACTGTGCAAAGATGCAGATAGTGACTGGGGTATAGCCTGTCACAGCAGTGGAAGGGTCCCTGAACAGGAGTGAGACTGCCTAGTTGTATGAATTTTCTTGGAAATTATGATTAGTGATCTTAAGAGCTTTTTAAAAAAAACTTTGGAAATCCAAAGCCAACAACAAAAGCAATGCTGCCATCCATAGTGATGGATCAAATCATTTTTCAACGTTCCTGGAGAACAAATGAGAAATTCGGAATGCTCACTAGGAATGATTTCCTTCCATTTTTCTTTTCTCATCATTTGTTCTTATCAATAGCCCCCTGATGTTAGCATTATGTTACCTATCTAGTGAATACAGCAAAGCCAGCTCTCTGAATGGAAATGTGTAGCATTCACCTAGACCCAGCTAATTATCTTATGTAGCTTCCACCAGCCTTGAAGCGCTCATTACTGAATTCTTGTTGTAACGTGAGCATGAAATACAATACTTAACGTGGGAAACTGTTTAATTATTTGTTGCTGGTTAACTCTGAAACATTTTTTTAAGGTACTTTGAAACCAAATATCAGTTATAGCTGTACTCTTCCCCATACAGAGTAGGGAAGAAATGTAACATTCTAAACTGGAGAAATCAAATGGCTCTGGCTGGTTCACACACTAATATGTCTGTAGCAGTAGTGACATTTTCGTTTACCCAATAAAATAACTTAATGTCATGTATGGCACACTTCAAAATATAATGCCAAAAATACCATGCCTTAATAAATATAGGCAAAATGAAAGATATAATATGCATCTTTGGTGTAATACAGTGTTATAAGGGCATTTTGAAAACAACAGCATGCTAGTTTAAAGAACTCAAGGACTTAAAGTTAACCCTTGCAGTGAGACTAACCCCACTCTGTAAGGGTTAACTGCTCGTTTTGGGGTAGGAGATATACGCACCTGATCACCGATCCCGCCTGACTCCTAGACAGGTTCCTGCAGCTACTTCTTACCTAGGCTCCAGCGGTCTAAGTACCGATGATGTCAACACGTCTAATGTAGGTCCATTTACCTGCATTAGACTGCAGCACACCGAGGGATATACCATAGCCCTAGCAGAAGGGGGGATCAGGTGAGTATATCTTCTATATTCCATCGTCTAGAGAAAACAAGCAGTTAACCCTTACAATGCAAGAGTAGCCCCACTGCAAGGGTTAGTTTTGTTAATTCCATGAGTTTTTCTATAAGTACATACGGGAAGGAATGGATGTTTGTGGAGAGCTCTGGGACAGGTTTGTACAGGGACATCTAATGCTGTGTTGTAGCAGTGGTACTTGTGATGCCAAAAGAAAGCTGTACTGATAGCAATAAGGGAGGCTGCCGCTGCTGACTTCAGTACTAGTAGACTATTCATGCCTTGCTGCCTCTGTTTTATTGAATTGCTGACACAGGGCAAACATGAAGATTAGAAATGTTAGAATTCCTGAATTGTGTACTTGTTCCTGGTCAGCATAAGAGCCAGGCAACTATCATTTTCAAAAGAAGTAGTCAGCAATATCAGCCTCCATATTCTCTCAAACAGCTTTACTTGAACAATGCAGGGGTACTGGGCAATAAACATTCGTGTTGGAGGGACACAAATAACTAAAGGTTTGAAAACACTCCTTGTACCAGACCATTCTCAACCATATTTCCATTCACATTAATGTGTGTCTATCTCAGAGTAATATGTAAACATCTTCTCAGCTCTTCCCTTAACTGCAGTTGCATTTTTAATGCTGATTCGTGGCTTAGAGCTCGATCACAAGACTGATAAATCATCCTGTAACACCGACTGGTTTTTCCCATTTTCACATCCTCATACTGTTCCAGCAGCTCAACATTGATGATGTTCCCCCTAGACACTCTCTGGATTATGTTGTGATACTCAATGTCATTAAAGACAGAGCCATTTTCAACCCAGAAACTAATATCGTGGGTATAACAGGGAGGGTAAAGTGAAAATTTCTTAAACAGTTTTAACTTCCGTTGCTTGAACTGTTGTAGAAATCGCTCATCATCTGTCCAAAGCAGTCTCCAGTCTTCAATGCCCAAAAGACACATGACCATTAAATCCAGATTAAGAGTTGTTAGAATAAAACTATGATCATTGCTCAGTTCTCCAGGGTTAATGATCCTGATTGTACCAATCATCTTATCCGAATGATCTGGAGACATGTTAATAAAATAATGCACACTAGTCTTTTGATGAAAATGTAAGCCGGTGACATTTAAAGGTTGTTTAGTGCAATCTAGTTCTTCATTTTCTAAAATTGGTTTTGCAATAGAGGACACGGCATTCCCAATGGTTTCCATTACTAGCTGGAGATGACTTGTCTTCTTGTCACTTGGAGAACACAGAAATATGACAAGTTCTTGGTAGATCGGCATCATGCATGGAGAGATTAAACATTTTCTGAAAACTGGTCCACTGAGCACACACAGAGTACCTGGTGTAAGGCTCGATTTTTGAGTTATGTCATTCATAAAAGAGGTCAAGGAAGGTCTTAAATAACTGCTGGTGTTATGTGTACAATTGTTAGCTGAATGGAGATCGTCAGCAATGATATGCTGAGAACAACTCATATGGGTCTCCTGTGTACCATCAGAAGTTCTACATCTAATGAAGTCTTTATCTGTGACATAGAAAACATTTTTACATGGCAAAGGACACTTAAAAACACTTGAGAAACTGGACACGTCACAAATAAGAGGAAATGTATCATCCAACTTGTTCAAAGTGAAGTTCATTTGAAAATGTTCAATAAGACCTTCATACAGCAGACTGACAGGATGGAATCTCCCTCTTCTAATTAAGTCCCTAAGAGAGAAGAAATATCTTTACATAAAAAAACACACACGTTAAAATGCACATTTTTGGTTTAAAAGTTACTTTTTTGATAGTAAAAGGACATGTGACACAAAAAGGGACCTTCTGTGCCCTGTAGGAGTAACTGAGCAGCATTACAGCTGCCCAAATCACTTCCACATTTAAAAGCAGAGCTGGCTGTTACGCTTTAAAACAAGCTCATTGCTATGAATTCATTTAAACCCTTTGATTGCCAGGAGGTATAGGACAAGCCCTTGACAGGTACTATTGGGCCGGACAGAGCCCCTCCAACATTCTACCTTTTGGGCCAGACAGAGCCCCTCCTTCCAGGCAGTCTGAGTCTCTCCTCAGCCCTTCCCTCAGTCAGCCTACTCTGCAGGCAGATCTCCTCCCCTGCATCAGCTCTACAGAGGAGACCTGCAATTCCCTCCAGAAGCCACTGGGTGGCAGCAACCCACTCACAGAGTTTCGCTAACACTACATCTGAGAGGATCCAGCTTCGCTTCTGGGACACAGCTAGCGTTACAAGGGAGAAAACCAAACACTCACCTCACTGGGTCTTAGAGTGGAAACGACTGGGTCCAAGTTTGAAAGCGTGATTGCAAGCCCAAGTGCCACTAACCAAAAGCCTTTGACTAAACTCCATTTGGTGGGTACCCACCCAAGAGGGGCTGTTGGACCACCGCTAAGAAATATATACCATCAACAATTATTTTTCCTCTGCACACGTTTTTTTACGTTTTTTTCTCACTGAACACTGTACCCCGATGTTTTTATAATTTTTTTGTGTGGATCGTTCATATATCGCTATATATTGGATGGTTTTTACACATTGGTTAAATTCCTTTACTGTTCTAATCATTATCTTGTTTTTCACAGTATAATTGAATTATTAATATATTTTTTTCCTTTGTTTTATGATCCCATGTAAAATTTCTTTCGAACTGTTCAGCATGGGGTTTTAGGCCAGATCGCTTAAACCCTAATTTCACTTCATTACCTGGTTGCACCAAGTTTCATACCACTTATACCTTTAGCGCTTTGATATATATTTCTTGACCGCTGAAAGGATTCTCCCATCCTCTTTTAGAGCTGCATTAGGTCTTAATTAATAATACATATTTTTACTTTAGTCTCTTCTCCAGAAGCGCAGATTATCTATTTCACATGAGGAACAATGGTAGCCACCCTCGAGAAGGAAGAACAGTTTCAGAATGAATTCAGAGATGATTTCAGGATCTACACCCGAGTGATACACAAATAAGATACATTCTTGTTACTAGTTAAGGTACTTGAATGCATTTTTAAGATTTAAAGGAGAACTATGGGGTTAGGGCTTTTCCCCATAGTTCTCCTTAGTGTAACGGGAGGACACAAACTAGTGTCCTCCCGTCACCCTAAGCTCAGTATACCGCGAGACGCCACAGCTGAAGCGGATCCCGACAATTATGTCTGGATCCGCCCAGCTGCGTGAGTGACAGCTGGCTCTGTCTATCTAGAGGCAGAGCCAGCTGTACCCGCCCCCTCCCCCGTCCGTCCTGCCAGTCCGCGCTGGAGGATCGGAGCCGTGACAGGATCGAGAAGTGAGTGAACGCTGGTATGTGTTCGCTCACTTCCCGATCTACTGAGCCGACCTGTGACAGTCTCATTGTCACAGGGCGGCTAGAACTATGAGGTGAGTGAAAAGCACTCACCTCATAGTTCTCCTTTAACTCCTGAGTTTAGTGTCACTTTAATGATTCAGTCCATACATGATTACAGTGGAGACAAGCAAGCAGCAGCATGTTAAAAGCATAAAATTCCCTGTATCAAAAAGCGACGTTTCAAGTAATCAAACAGGCTTTTTTTTTACAAGCATGGAGTGGACACTTAAAAATAGAAAGTGTGCTGCTTCTTGTTTGCACTTTAATAGAGAGCTGTATGGACTGATTCATTGGATTTATAAGTCCTTGGTGCAGTTGACTCTGAAATTATTGGAGTCAAATTTTGTGCCATGAGGCTGTCGTTTCGATGCGCAAGGCATCTGATCTATGAGTGGATTGGAGTGTGTATTAAAATAATCACCTTAATGTTTGATTGTCACAGTATCCTTGATCCTGGACAGAAGCTGATGAATCTGTTAGTCTCTCTATTAGACGTAATGCTGTCAGATTATCCAGTGGTAAGCTTCTGGTGAAAATGTGATTCAATGAGCCAGCTACATGGAATGATTTTTCTTGGCTTCTGTGAAGCAAAAAAACAAATCACTGTTACTACATGAGATGCTTGAGAGGAAAGAACAGAAATAACATAAGCAAACAAAGTAACAACAAAAGTGAAAATGCATTCTGGAGGCCTATCTGCCCAGAGTCTCTAGCAAAAACAGACTTATAGAAAACAACAGAGATTTATATTTAAAAAAAAAAAAAACTTGTTGCAGGAAGTGAAGTGTAGAAATAGGTAATATGAGGACAAGAGTTTCACAAGCTACAACAATAATGAAAAAGCTTGCAGCTTGGCCTAAGTGCAGAAGATATGGCCATCTTGAGGGTTCAAACTAAACAGAGTAATGATTAAGACCACTCTTGTTATGCAGATGGCAAGTTCAGGTAGACTGAATCGCAAACCAGGTTATTATATCTGACAACAAGATCAGAAACTAGCTTCTAATATCTGACAGCAGGATCTCAACACAGAGCCTCCAGCTCTGCAGCCATTACATCAGGTTTTTTTCTACTATCTTTGGATTCTTAATTTGTGTTATATTACACACAATGCAAATGAAGGAGCAAGACACCCTTCACTTGGCCTCACAATGGCGCAGCAGAGGACAATGCAGGAAATGTAATAGGGAAATGTTGCTAATGGTCTCCTAGAGGTAGTACGAAGCAGATGGTTCGTATTGCCTGTGAAGGTCCTCAATTAACTGCCTGTTCATAAAATAACAATTAAAATCTTATAAGTCCTTTTGTTTTTCTTGCTTTAAATAAAAAAAAAATGGTAAGTAAGGTCCACTCACTTACCATTGATCACCACTGCTTTAAAGGAAAATTATGACCTGAGGGCAAATAAAAATACTCCTTACCTTTATTATATTAGCATTCTTCCTTTTTTCTGAAGTCACAGCACATCACAGATAAAGTCATCAAAACCCACAGGAAACGGCCACCTCCAGCCCTGCTCCAAGCTCCTTTCCTCTTAGGGGACGTTAACAGTTGATCCAGCCCACCCTCAGCTTTTTTTAATTCAAATTCTCCTTCTGCTGTGGCCGCGCTTTCTCTCATCGTGCATAGCTGTGTTTTGTCAGAGCGTGCATGCTGGCATTTGGGAGCGGGAGGCGGAGTCTCAAATGAAAAGGCAGCAGCAATAGATGGTTAGAAGTGAACTGCTAACTCAGCCTCCCTGCACTTTCAGTGCTCTTTCCCATCTCTCATCAGCAATCTGGATGTCAGCATGACACAGGGCAGGGGGAGAGAGGGGAAAGAGCCCTCTCTCTCTCTCTCTCTCTTCTTCATTTACCACATATGAGCAAGTCCATATATGGTGAATTATCATGTCACTGGGGATCCCTGCTGATCGGATACTTGCCAGTCTGCAGGGATCACCAGTGACATCATTCACCATATATGGACTTGCCCATATGTGGTAAATGATGGAGAGAGGGCTCTCCCTGCCCTGTGTCACGCTGACATCCTAGAATCACTGGGGATCGCTGAATAGAGAGGGGGAAGAGGGCTCTCTCTTCAGCATTTACCACATATGAGCAAGTCCATATATGGTGAATGATGTCACTGGAGATCTCTGCAGACTGGCAAGCATCCGATCAGCAGGGATCCCCAGTAAAAAAATTCACCACATATGGACTTGCTCATATGTGGTAAATGATGAAGAGAGAGGGCTCCTTCCCCCCTCTCTCTCCCTGCCCTGGGTCACGCTGACATCCTAGAAGAGAGAGGGGAAGGAGCCCTCTCTCTCTCTTCTTCATCATCATTTACCACATATGAGCAAGTCCATATATGGTGAACTTTATCACTGGGGATCCCTGCAGACAGCACATGGAGTAGGCAGGGCAGATGAAGGAGAGAAGGAGGGAGGGGGATCCAAGGCTACACCGCAGCGTGTCTGGAAGGCGGGCACAGACGACAGGATGTGAAGGTAAGGAGAGAGCTGCATGGGGAGAGCTGCTGCGCATTTACATATATTTGTGGACGCAGCTCTCAGCGATCACTGTCAGTCACAGTGAGGAAGATCATTGGGGATTGGGGAGGATCCCGACAGTATTGTCGGGATCTCTCCTCATTGCGACGCTTAGCCCCGCGCAGCATGTTAAAGAAGGGTTTACAGGCTTAGGGTGCATTTTGGCTTATAGGAGTAAATTACACTATTTACTCCTTTAGCCTAAGGAATGCAATAATAAAGAAAAAGTAGAACCCCATAGTTCTCCTTTAAGACAATCATAACACATACTGAATGCTGAAAAGTTAAATCCAGGCTCACGATGTACTTTGATTACCTGTATCCTGTGCTCTGGTAACCAAAGTACTGGTCGTAAGTAAAGGGAGTCACAGCACTCAGGATAAAGCCTGCCTTTGCTGCCATAGCCACTATTTGCCAGCTATTATGCCACTCCCTCCTCGGCTCATCAGCAGGGGTGCCACCTTGTCCTTGGCACAAAGCCACGTGAACTTCTCCTTTCTCAGCAAGGACATCCGCGCAGCTATAAAACGAATAACAATAATGTGATGTTAATGTATTTTTGTTTGTACTTAAAGAAAAATTATTACTATAGCTAATAAAACAATTAACCAAGATGTGTCTGCATGAGACGTTTTTAATTTTACACAGTGCTTTGAGAGCCCCTGACCATATGGATCTTATAATGCAGACACCTATTCAGTTTGAAAAGTTGGAGCTCTGGCATGCCCTCATTCAGTGCAAACCTCCACCATTGGTTACAGAGGCTCAGAGGTTGACATTGAGGAACATGGGAGGTGGCGGATAGCGCCAGTGCTTCAGTTTTAGAGGAAAAGGAAGCTTCTGCACAATGAGCACAGTGGCAGACCTAGGGAACAAAGGGCCCCATTGCAAGATTTTTTTTTCGGACCCCCCACACCCCTGCAATTAAATGGTCATTTCTATCAGGAAACCTAAGTTTAGACACTGGTGTAAATAGCCCATTACTATATATCTCTTAGGGCCCTAAACTAATTACCACTGAAACCAGTAATCTCTCAAATAACAGGTACTAACAGGGAGTGCTCTTCACCCATTATACTATACATGAGATTATAAAAGTATAAATATACACTTCATTACAAGGACACTTACTAACCTAAGAAAGAACCTGCAGAGCAAATCCCTGTTTTTCTTCACTCCGGCCTTCCTTCCACAATGTGGAAAGTTAAATATAATGCGGTCATAAAGATGATTCGTTAAAAAAGCATAATCCTTTAGCCTTGTAGCATCCACTTCAAAGTAGACCAGAGCTCCTGTTGTAGTAAGAAGGAAGAAAAAGTCATATCTTGTAAAACAAGGGGGGAGAAGAGCTGCTTTCATATTCTTTCTAAGGGCTTGACGTCCCTGACTTTAGTGTCAAGAGCAAGAACTGCCACCCCCACCGTGCAGTGACAGCAACTTTAATTACCACTGAGCTGCACAGAAGTCAAGCTCTTACTAATGAACTGAAACTAGAATCACAGGGGCACAAAAAAGAGATTTTGTTTCTGGCAAACAAAGGTCATGTCAGGCATCTTCTGTTATTTTGCTGAAGCAGATTCGGTGCATGGTTACCACTCTTGCTGGGGTCCTGAGCTTAAAAACCATGATAGACACTGTCTTTGTGGAGTTTATGTGTTGCCCATTTATCTGCATGGCTTTACTTTGAGTGTTCTGCTTTCCATTTAACCTACAGAGGTGGGTTAATTGACTTCCACACAAAACAGTACCTAAGGTGTACTTGCTTCTGTCAGTTTGGTAGAGAAATGATGTGAATGTGTTCTCAGTAAAGCACTGTAGAAACTGCCAGAGCTACATAAGTGTAAACAATGAACACATTAATTGTAAGTCGATCCAATTTGAGACTTGTTCTGAATTAATTTACAAATTACCAAGCCACCCATCACAGTGATAAACTACTAGAGGAACCCAGGAGGCAGAATAGGGAAAGGAAGACCTTCAACCCCGGGTTGTGTCATCTGTCTGGATGCAGAGTGCTAATAGAAGAACTGTTCTGGGGGAAGGACTCATGAAAATATGCTCCGCCTATCTGTACCACCTACAACATGATGTAAGGGTATTGGAAATGGGAACATGCTGATGGTGTTCAATTTCACAAGGACAACTACACACAGTGACCACAGACATTTCTCAGCTGCTCTGCATGGGCTGTCAAAAGAGGAACTTATAAGTGACACCAAATATAAAATCTTGGCAATCACATGTAATAACAACGTTTCACAACAAGAATGAGCATAAGACATATAAACATACGTTTAGTAGGGACTTCAATAAATCATTTTTATGGCTAGGGATACTGTAGGTTAGAGGTCAGAGAGTTTTTTTCTGCATGACAAGCCAAAGCCAGTGCTAAAAGCTGTCATGGCAGGGTCTCCCAGCAATAACAAAAATGACTGGGGTAATACTGGTAAAAGTTAAAGCATCTATTGGGTTACCATTTTTTCTGAGTTGCTCCACATTGGCAGATGAGAGAGGCTGTTTGGCTATAGCATCTTCTGTCTCATAACAGGTGGCAACAATGAGATCTTTCCCTTGATTGAAGCTAGAGAGGGATGCAGAATAAGTGAAGTTCCCTTCACCCACTAACAAGATATATGGCATCTTCCTGCTTGTATCCTAAGGGAAAAAAAGAACATTTCATAGATGTTATAAGGACAAGGTCAACTGGGCACCGGATTATACCACTGAAGGTGAGACGTAAACACCAGAGAAGGCCACAGCTGAGGTAAGTAAACATCTAGGATGGGGATCTCAACAGTAGGTTAAATTAGGTTAGCAGGCTATGTAGTGTGTGTTTTGCTGGTAACTGCACCAAAGGATTGCCAGAGCACTATGGGGTTTCTCAAGAGTAGAGATGGCTAACTAATCGATTTTGAAAATAATCGTTAGCTGCAGCTCTACAGTACAGCAGTAGCTACCTGTCCTGAGGCTTGCTTTGCCTGAATGAAACCTCAGACTGAAAGGCCTAATAAGCAACAAGTGTCTCCTCTGACGTGTTTGTTCACTTGTACGTGTACATTTCAGCTAGGACTTTTGAGCACTGTAAATGGTCTTTCTACACCAGGTGGAAGGAATAGCTTCCAGTCGCTGGTATCAGCGCAGGGAATAGTGCCCCATTGTTTGTGTCAGTGGGAGGAGATTGCCCCATTACTGGTGTCAGTGAGAGGAATAGTGCCCTATCGTAGGTGTCAGTGGGGTAAATAGTGCCCCATAACTGGTGTCAGTGAGAGGAATAGTGCCCCATTACTGGTGCTAGTTAGTGATGGGCTCGGGCGTGTTCGCAGCTCCACGTGCTGAGACCGCCAGGAAGCTGACAGCGCGCAGCGCCAATCACAGGCACAGAGACATTTCCCGATCTCTGCAGCTGCGGACCAGGATAATGACTCCGTACCTGTGATTGGCGATGCGGTGCTATCAGCTTCCTGGCGGGCTCGGCACGTGGAGCTGCGAACACGCCCGAGCCCATCACTAGTGTCAGTGAGAGGAATAGTGCCCCATTAATGGTGACAGTGGGATGAATAGTGCCCCATTACTGGTGTCCCTGGGAGGAATAGTGCCCCATTACTGGCGTCAGTGAGAGGAATTGTGCCCCATTACTTGTGTCCCTGGGAGGAATAGTGCCCCATTACTGGCGTCAGTGAGAGGAATTGTGCCCCATTACTTGTGTCAGTGGACGGAATAGTGGCCCATTACCGGTATTAGTGGGAAGAATGGTGCCCCGTTACTGGTGTCAGTGTGAGGAATAGTGCCCCATTACTGGTAATAGTGGGAGGAATGGTGCCCCATTATTGGTGTCAGTGGAAGGGATAGTGGGCCATCATTATTGTAATGGGGCACTATTCCTCCAGTAACTGGTGTCAGTGGGAGGAATAATGCCCCATCGTTGGTATAAGTGGGAGGAATAATGCCCTAAGGGCAAGTTCAAAGGCCAGCTGGCTGACATGACTGTCATACCCTCTTCCTCCCCAAACACACACACACTGTCCAGTGTTACACATTTAATTAGGGGGAAGCATGTTTCATATAACAGCAGCTGTGTGTTGGACTTCGGTGGGTAAAGCAGTGTCATCAGAGTCTCCTTCCCTCACCTGCAGGCTGCAGCCAGGGAAGTGCCTTCCCCCCCTCACTACATCCGAACTTTTCCCGGTGCCCCCTCACGTGCCCCCCAGTGGCTCCACTACCTTCTCCCGTTCACAGTCACTGACATCCACATGACACTTTCCGGGCGGCGCACATTACTGACGTCAGACTGGAGCCTGTAACTAAGCAACGATAATGATGCTTTGCCTCTCGGTGGTGAATTGAAGAACTCTGGAGGCGTCAGGTGTGTGTTTATTTACACGATGCAGAGTATATAAGATTCATCAGATACATGATTACTGAGTGTGATGGAGTACACATCCTCAATGTAACTGATGAACGGAGGGGCTGGTGAGCCGTATACTGTGGGAGTTTTACTGATGATCACCTGTACTATCAAAATCTGTATCACCTTCACACTTCCATCTCAAGCATGTGTCTGTCATCTTATATTACCGCTCCCATTCTCTGAGTGCATTCATTGTAGTGTGCTCTGGTGTTCTGACCAGGTAAAGAGACCCTGACACTAGAACATCCATTTCAGCAACACTCTTCCTATAAGATTATATGTGCATTTCATGTGTTCTGTGCATGTTATTTGCATGTAAAGTCTCCCTTCATCCCGTTAGCATGGATGGATGAATCTCCCCTGCCAGCTATTGTAATCTGTCAGCCCATACCCACAACTGTCAGAATACACAAACAGTGGCTGCAATCAGGGCCATCACTATAATGAGGCAGCCTGAGGCTGTTGTCGAGTCACGTAGGGGGGGCAAAGCAGCACAATGTTTGCAGTGTGCTTGCCGTCCCTTTCCGGCCAGGATGCCCCAGGTTGCTAAGTGGCAAGTGGGGAAATGGGTAAATGTCACATCTCCTTGCCCGGCTCTGGAGCCTGGAATGATCTGGAAATCGTCCTGCTCAGCTTCTGGCAAACAGTTGGCGGCAAAAAGGCTAGGGACAACCCTGGCTGCAGCTAATTGTCACTGTTCGGCTGTCTAGTTTCCTACACTCCTCCGGCTTCATTGACAATCAATTTGTCTCCAATTTTTAAATTGAAGAATGCCAATGGGGTCATACACTACTCAAATTTCGGCCGAGTCAGCAGGACTTTCGTATGGCCAGCTTTATGTAATCATCCAAAAGCCCCGAGACTGCTGCTGGGCACCAGTATCTTGGATGTGATTATAGCAGTCCCAGCAGACTCATACATTTAAAGTAAACTATATGTAGGAAGGTGAGGTGAGAGGCAGAGGAGCTGGACCAGCACAGAAATGTATTAGACACTCCCAGAAGAAGAGAGGGCTATGGTGTGCAAAGAGGGAGGGGGCTGCACTAGGGAATTAACCATTCTAGAGTAGTCACATTTTCTATCAAGCTAAAAGGTACATTGCAAGTCAATGAAAAATAGTTTATGGAAAAGAAACAAAGTAAGCATTTCAAATACTTGCTATACCTGCAGTTCTTTCAAATTAGTTATACGGTTTCTATAAACTGCAATGCAAGCCAAAAAAATGTATTTTGTTTTCCATAGTGCTATGCTAAAATGGTTAGAACCATGAGGATGTTATTGCGGTCTGTGTTCCTATTGGGGAGATTTCACTTCCTGTGAGAGACAACAGACGCATAGTGTATCCCTGTGACTTCCAACAAAATTATAAACAATGTGGTGTCTGTAAAAACAAGCAAATATAATACTTACTTGTCCAGCTGTCTGTACCACCAATCGTTGCTCTATACCACTGCCTGAAGAATGCCTGGCCCCCTCTGTGTGCCGTGTTTCCTCCTTCCAGCGACATTAAAGCTCAGTTCCAGTGAGATAAATTAGGGTCATTTACTAATGGAGTACGTTCACATTCAAAGTTCATTTTCACTTACCTTAGTGTATGAGAGGAAACAGTGACTGGATGATGGAAGTCAGCACAACTTCACATCATTCACTAAGCTAAGTGAATTTCATTGCAAAGTGAATTATTATATACAGTAGCTTAGTGAAGCTTAGTGAAGCAGGTTAAACGATGAGGTGAGTGAAAATCACTCATCTTCATAGTTCGAGCCGACGTGCGACAATGAAACTGTCACAGGTCGGCTCAATAGATCGGGAAGTGATATACCGTCGCTCGCTCACTTCTCGATCCTGTCCCTGCAGAGAGCCGTGACTGTCACTCTGCAGGGATTCCCCCCCTCCCCTGTCCGATCCTCCAGCGCTGACTGGCAGAGCGGATGGGGGAGGGGGCGGGTACAGCTGGCTCTGCCTCTAGATTGGCAGAGCCAGTTGTCACTCACGCAGCTGGGTGGATCCAGACAGTAATGTCGGGATCCGTCCCGGCTGCGGCGTCTCAGTATACTGTGAGCTGTAGCTCGCGGTATACTGAGCTTTGGGTCACGGGAGGACGCTAGTTTATGTCCTCCTGTTACCCTTAGGAGAACTATGGGGAAAAGCCCCGACCCCATAGTTCTCTTTTAAGCATTGCTGACTTTAATCACTCAATCATGTGCAAGCAAAAATCCTGGGGTTTTTTTAGTCCTCCTTGCACATGATTGGAAATTATTTGCAAAGTGAATTTCCACTTCATTTTATGTCGTTCATCAGGGTCAGTGTGCATGGTCCCAATGGGGTGCGCATGGCACTAATGCATTTCCTATCCTCGTCAGTGCCATCTCGCCGTGCTAGTGCCATGCAAGTGACACAATGCATAATGCCAGTCAGAACTTTTATAAATGTGTTTGTGGGCCAACATTACCCAGTGCGCCTGCAGGGCAGATTGCCTCTGTGACTTTGCAGTCAACAGCTGATTAAATTGCTAGAAAATTGCCATGTGTTCAGCCAGTATAAGGAGGAGGCTTATAAACGGAGCTTATAAACTCCATTGTACCTGATTCATTTACAACCTGTAAGCCATGCAGGGCCAACGCTGCTACTAGGCAGACTAGGCAGCCGCCTAGGGCGCAACTTCGACCAGCAGCTTCCTGATACCGCTAGGTTATCCCAAGACATGTGAGTGGTCTTCATAAAGATGGCAGAGGAGGGAGGACAGTTTTGATAACGTGAGCTTTTCCCTCTAGTGTTCAGAGCCCCTCCCTCGTAGGGTTGCCACCTGTCCAGGATTCACCCGGACAGTTCGGGTTTTGAATGCTCTGTTCGGGTTTCATGGCAGCAGAAAACCGGACACAAGATGTCAGACAGACAGGGGCAACCAAAATTAAGATAGGGGCTACTGGCCCCCCACTGAAAATAGTCTCACCTGTAATATTTGCATATGAATGGGTGGCGCTATTTAGATATGAATAAGCCATTTTCCCCAAAAATTGTCTGCGCGTCTCTAAAGTGTTCGGGTTTCGCTTGAAGAAAAGGTGGCAACCCTACTCCCTCGTGACCTCCGCCAGGGACTGTCCTCTGTTAAAGCCCGCAAATGAGCCATGGGGGGGGTGGCTGGCTCAGTACTGTACCCTTTACAGGCTGTCCGGGTGTCACAGTGAGAGGCGTGTGATGGCTCTGAGTCCAACTACAGGAGAACGCTGAGCCTGCTGTGTGTGTGCTATGAAGGCCCGCTCACCCCTGTGTGGCCTGTATGTAAGAGTCTCTAATATTTCCTGTATATACTGTATGGTTCTGTGTGCTGTGGGAGGACTGTGGACATCATGGAGGGGACATGAACCCTATGTGCTGGGGACACTGTAGGATATTCACTTGGGTTTTTATATTATGTAGGATATTCACTTGAGGCCTATGTTAATGGGATTGATAAGATGTTTGGTAGCACCAGCAGGGCCTTGTATTTGTGATTACATATAAACAATGCAATTGGTGTCAGACAATAAGGCAAGTGATAGCTGAAAGCATTTCAATGAAGATGCAATTGTTCCAGTGTAGATGGGAATTCAAGGACCTGTTTGGTAACAACAAGATCAAAGTTTTTTTTCTGGTCAACCAATCAGCTTCTTCCACATTTTGGTGAATGAGGAAAATGGGTATATCAAGGAGAGACTGAAATGGGAGAAGGGAAGAAAGGAGAGGGGAGTTCAGAGTCATGAAGAGAGGCACAAAGGTGCATATATAGATTGGAGATATATGCTGGGTCGTTAGAGTGGGTCCTCATGGAACCTTTATCATCTGAGGTCTAGATATTTTCATATATATATGAAAATATATGCAGAGTCATGAAGAGAGGCACAAAGGTGCATATATAGATTGGAGATATATGCTGGGTAGATAGAGTGGGTCCTCATGGAACCTTTATCACCTGAGGTCTAGATATTTTACTCTGTATTACTCTGTTGGACTGTTCCTGTTCATCCGTTTCTTCGATCCAATTAAACGCTACTCTCTGGAAAAGTACTGAGGTTGCCTGGATTTTCACAACGCAGATAAATATAAATACATATAGTTGGGTAGATATATATTTATACTTCCCGACATATAGTACTACACTACAGACACAATGGAGGGGAAATGAACCCTGTGTGCTATGGAAGGGCTGGGAAAACTGTGGAAGGGGCATGGACCTTGTGTGCTATGGAAGGGCCGGGGACAGCATGGAGGGGACATGGACCTTGCGTGCTATGGAAGGGCTGGGGAAAGCTTGGAGGGGGCTTGGACCTTGTGTGCTATGGAAGGGCTGGGAACAGCATGTAGGGGGCATGGACCTTGTGTGCTATGGAAGGGCTGGCCAATCCACTGAGGCAGGATGGAGCTAGCCTGCCCACTGGGGTGATCTCTTTACAGAACTTGCAGCCAGCCTTACCGGCTTTGCCAAATGTCAGCCACCTCCCCATGGACTGGTAAAGGGATCAACATTTTCTTTAAGCTATTAGGCATTGAAAACAGATTACATGAAACTGAATACGCCACAACAATTGTCTACCATCAGTTTTGCACATTGCTGGGGATTTGATTGAAAATCAATCTAATATGCTTTTCAGTTCAATTGTGATGATTTAAGAAATATTGCAAAGCATTGGTGGCAGGTGCTGTGGATTGTTTAATTCCATGCCATTGTTTTCTTTACAAACTGGAGCATACAAAATGAGCACCACATTTCTAAATAGATGGGCATCCTTATTGCTGGGGAGATGGAGAAGCAGGCTATATGTCTGTGAATTGAGACTGCAAGTGATATAAAATATCTGATTTGTTTAGCGCCATTGTTTAGGTACAATCAACACTTCCAGTTTAGTGAGTACACATAAGTAATCACCTTATATATTTATTATTTTATTAAAACAGAATGGCTGATTATAATTCTGATCTAAAAGCTGATGGACATGGTGAGGTATGGGTGGACTCTGAGCCTGGTGCGAAGCTGAAGCAATATGGCTGGAGGTGCACAACTAAGGAGGATTCCTACTCCAACAAGACATTACTTGGAAACTGGAACCAGGAGCATTATGACCTTCGCAAACTTGAAGAAAGGAAGCCATTACCTTCTCAGGTACTTATGAAGTCCTATAGTATAGAAGCCCACCAGCGCCAGAGAATTCATTATTAACCGAGAAAGCTTTGACACACCGCAACCACTGGAGGCAGCCCCGCTCCAGTTAGGGAGACCCAGAAAACAACTGCAGAAAACAAAGAACAACAGGACACCCTGTTCTTTGTTTTCTACTAATGTGGTAGTACTGAAATCAAATTTGTACTGAGACCAAGGTTCAGTACCTTGGTATCATTAGCCAGTAAATGTAACCATTACTAGAATGGGGCTCCCCTTAGAAGAAATTGTTACATTTATTTGCTAATTCCCTTTCCCTTTTAGTTCTCTAGAATTCTTGCATTGTATCTCTTGTTACAGAGATATATTTATTTGCTATAATTCTCAGATCCAGTTACCTTATAATATTTAAGAGCATTATAATATTGGACCAGACCAAGAATAAACCAAGACCAAACTGGACTAAGACCAGACCGATACCAGACTAAAACAAGAACAGACTAAGATCAGAACAGACCAAGAACAGACTAACACCAAACCAGACCAGAACAAACTAACACCAAACCAGACCAGAACAGACTAACACCAAACCAGACCAGAACAGACTAACACCAAACCAGAACAGACTAACACCAAACCAGACCAGAACAGACTAACACCAAACCAGACCAGACCAAGACTACTCCAGACCAAGACTACCCCAGACCAAGACTATTCTCACAACATTTTGTTTATATAACTAGTCCTGTAAGTGTGTATGCCGAGCCTTACTCGATAAGAATGAAAAGTTCCTCTGTGTTACAATATTTGAAAGATGGTCATTATAAGAACAGATAACATTACGAGCTGATAAAACATTGATTTTCCTGTTACAGTATGCCCACTATTATAAAACCTCTTATTCTGCTGACTACACCAGGAACGGGGGATCAGCTGTGAGACAAGGTGAGATGACAGAACACAATCAGTTGTGTTCAACAATTCATCACAATTTAAACTTTTCTGTAATACATTTAGCTGCAAAGTAAGATTGTAATTAACAAATATTCATGTAAGCTCCCACGAGGAGGGCCCTCCTAAACCTATTGTACTGAAATTGTATTGTATTGTAACTGTACCATCTCCCCCATTTTGTAAAGCACTGCGCAAACAGCTGGCGGTCTATTAATCCTGTATTATAATCATTTGTTTCCTAGCCTTTGTAGAATGTGTGCAGTAATTTATTAAATGATGAAACCTGACTTTTAAAATATAGTGTATGAGGGTGACATAAACTAAATTTGTTAGTGCCTTCCCATTTTATCTTCCCTAAAGTAAATCTGTCATAAGACAAACATAGGGTCTGCCATCACTGACCACCTCCTGAAAATGCTAATTGCTTGGCTGTTCTGCTGTCCATCTTGCTTGCATAATTTCAGAGTCACTGACCCTCTTTAAGTATGGAGATCTGCAAAGCCAGGGAATAGTCTTGTTCTGGACTGGAGTGTGTATGTGTGTGTGTGAGATTGTGTCTGTGGTTGTGGGGTTTTAAAGGGCCCATTCACACTAGTACAGTGCGATTAACGCACTGTACTTTGCAATCGCACCTACCATGCGTTTTGGTGTGAGAAGTGCATTGCATTGCCATTCATTTGAATGGCACCCCAAATGCACCTCCCACCCACATTTCTATTCCCCGCATTGGAACGCGCAGTACCGCGCGTTCCATTGCAGCGCAACTTGGGTCACAACCTAATGACCAAGGACAAATGTGGGTCCTGAGGTTACACAGGTTGAGAACCACTGTTTTAAAGGGTCAGTCCACCTAAAATTTATATTTAATTTTTTGATAGATGATGGAAAATGAAACCATTGGACAGTTTCTTATATCTCAAGGGGACATTATTAGGGAAATCTATGCGCTTCACTTGCTGGGTTTTCACATGTGCTGTGGCCCTTAAGTGCAGGAGATGAGTTCTGAGGATATGACAGTGGGCAGTATGTTCAGTAGAGGAGTGTGGAGGGTATGACAGAGGGCATATTTGCAGGAGAGGAGTGTGGAGGGCATGTGCATGTAGGCAGTAGATGTCTAGTTCAGCTGGCACTGCTCCTGATGAGTAGTACATTTGCTCTGTTGTGCAGCAGAGTGGTTAGCACGGTGACAATCGATGGATCACTCCCCACAATCCCTGATTACCAGTCAGAAGTAAACAGCAAACATATGATCACTGATTACGTCTGGCACTAGGGGAACCTTGCACTGGATTGACTTGTCTTCTGCACCGGACTCTAAGTGGCCATATTGGGATAGTCTGTCACTGATTGGGTGGTCATCTTTGACACAGAGGGGTTATACAGGTATATAGCCTTTGCTGATTAATTTCAGGGGCCCTACAGTGTGGGAAGTGCAAAAACAGGGACAGACACCTGTCTGCAAATGTTTCTTGGGAAGAACCAGGGAGAAGCTCAGTAGCAAAATGAAACTCTGATTTGGCATTATACTCAATCATTGAAGGGGTTCTTTACAGCGGACATTCAAATCTGACTTAATTACCGTATATTATTAAGAATTTGTTCTGTGTCTACATGAATAAACTGTGAAGATGTGTTTTTCTCTTTCAGTTTTTAAGAGAGTGCCCCATGTGTTTCCAGCACATCAACCTGAACTGGAAACACCAAAATACAGAACTCTTCAAAAATCTTGTTACACTATTGACTATGGCAGCCCTATCACCACTTCTGATCAACATGCTATACAAAATAACCCTACAACCGTGTTTCCTTATCAATAAATTCATATATGAGTATTAAGAATTATTGTAGAATGTTTTTAAATATTTGAAACACAAAGCATGTTTATTAATTATTGTTGTGCTTTTTCATTAGACTGTACATTGTACCATGATGGTGCACAGTGCAGTTATCCATAGGAACCATCCAGGTTTCAACTAAGCAGTACGCAAACTCTTTAATTAGAGCACAAAAACTGTTAAAAGAGGCAATGTGGAATGTAAGTGAACACCAAAAATATCTGACATAGGTCAAAGAACAAAACAGGTCAATAGCAATACTGATACCCGTGTAAAAAAGTTAAAAATAACAGTCTGGATAAGGTTAGTCCATTCCAAGTGCCTTAGACTTGATATGTCAGTTTTATTATGTCTTATAATAAACTGTTCCTTTAATATACACTATGTACAAATTTTCCTGTACGCAAGAGACTATAAGATCTGTTTATCAAGGTTTTCAGCCAAGATACACACACGTTTCACCCAAGAATCAAACATTTTCTAATCAAATCGTATGTGGAAAATGCATGAATGTTGGGTGAAAGTTGGAAAATGTAAACTTTAATAAATAGGCCCCTATGCATTTATTTTATATTGGTTATTGCATGATCTACAGTGTATGGTTCTACATATGATCATGGCTTCAAATAGTTAGTCAGCCGCTGTAACCAATGGCATTGGAGGAGGAGGAGGGGCGTGGCTTTAAATACAGTGCTACAGGAGCTGCCAGTCTATCAGGATGTAGTGTGGCCAGGAGTGCACACATGGCTCCAGGAGACCAATAATGGGAACAGAGCTACCATATTGATGGCAATGGAGGAGAGGGATGATATTACGGCTGAATATAAATAACATGCAGGCTGCAAACCAAAAGCACACAGCAAGCAATGGAGGAACTGAGGTATGCTGCTATAGAAGATTTTTTAATATGGAGGGTTTATTACACTTTAATCAACCTTTACTCATTTTAAACACAACACAAGGCAATCATCACAAGTACACTTGAAGATGCTTCTTCTTGCTTTTATTTGTATTAGTATTTTGATTTGGTCACGGGACAGCACAAATAAATACATGTAGCAGTGTAGTACGCGCGCACTCTCTCTGGCAGGGTGGAAAGGTATCTTGTTTGTCTGGAACAGGTGAGAGACTCTACTTCTTGAGGGCAGCTCCAATAGCTGCCTTGTCTTCACGAGTGATTGGGATAGAGCGTTCAGGGACATCTGCCATTTTCCTGGGTCCAGATACTGTCAGCACTCCATCTGGAGACAAGGATGAAGTGATGCAAAGGGGATCAACGTCCACTGGGATTTTATATCTTCTCTGGAAGTCTCTGGAAACATAGCCATGCTCATCCTGGGAATAAATATCAGCAATTAGGTAAAGTGTGGAATGCATTTTCTAAAAATTACCTTGCATTGATCACATTTTGTAACCATATACATTTGATTTGTTTTACTGCAGATAGTTTCATAATTACTCTGTAAAAAAACACATGTTTATCAAGTTCAACCAAAAAGTAAATCATTGTGTCCCCTGTATTCCCCTAATAATAATTGTTCTTTCCCCTGTATCCTGCCACCGGAACATACATTGGTCTTTCCCCTGTATCCCGCCACCGGAACATACATTGGTCTTTCCCCTGTATCCCGCCACCGGAACATACATTGGTCTTTCCCCTGTATCCCGCCACCGGAACATACATTGGTCTTTCCCCTGTATCCCGCCACCGGAACATACATTATTATTTCTTTCCCCTTTATCACTTTCCCCACACACTCATTTACCTTTTTCTCGTACCCCATCCCAAGAGTTATTTACGACAGCAGTGAGATAGCCCTTCTAGTACACAGTGCTATCCCTCCTATATCCTGTATATTATAACTGAGAGGTTTTTGCACACATTTAGCTTTACATCCTCCGTGAGTTTACTCCCATCTTTCTAAAGGTTGTTAGTGTAGATCACACCATACATTAACATGCAGAGGGCTAGTGGAAGATGGCATCATGTCATATGCAGGTAAACAGAGTTATGAATATGGGACTTTGGAAATTAAGAAAAGAAGTGACAATGTAACACTATGTTTCCTCATACAGCCATCTTTGGCGTGATGTCCCTCTACTATTGGAGCTTGTTGCAGCATGCTAAAATATTAGTTATGTATAAACAAATATGTTCCATATTTGTGGCGTCCATTTGGAATCATAGCATACAGCTGTGTGACTCTGGTGAAGACATAATGTTACACTGTCACCCGCATGTTGCTGAAGCCTTACACAAAATAGGTCTCCGATGTTCCTTAAGGGCCTGTTCACAGCAGACACAGTGCGTTCCGGCCCGATTCAGGCCGGAATGCACTGAATCGCATTACGGCCGGAGGGCGTGGCTACAGTGCCATTCACTTCAATGTTCCACGCCCCCTCCCGCCCCACAACAAAGTGAGCCAGCCGCAATTCGATCCAGTGCGTTCCGGCCAGAATCGGTGTCTGGTGTGAACGGGCTCTAAAAATTACAGCTGGCTCCTCATTGTTTAGGTTTCCTCTAGTTGTTATTAATGGAACTAGCTCTAAAAATCCTGCTGGCTTTGGATTGGACAGACTGGCTTTTAAATTCCATAATAATTTGTCCACCCCTGCTTTACACTAAAATAGTATAAAACACTATGCATGACTAACCACATTTATACTTAAAAAGACACAAATGGGCAAAGTAACAGGGTCTGAGGAAGTCGCCACCCACCCAGTTATATTCACCTCTTCAGTATCTATTAAAAACACGTCACCCCTGCACTGTGCCCTCCCAGAATACAATCAACCAGAAAGTAGAAATGATGGTGATGGGTAATCCTTGCCCAAGGGCCCAGTAATAACGTTTAAACTTTTGGGACACTAATTGTGGCAATGTGTGCTCCAATAAATTTTATAGCTGTGCAATTTACCTGACGCTCCTCGTGCTTTCCATGGATTTCAACGTAGTCTCCTGTCACTTTCACTTTTAGCTCTTCAGGGGAGAAATGTTTCACATCAAGGTTAACAGAGAACTTATCCTTCTCTAGTCTCATCTAGGGGAGTAAAAGCACACTTTAATTAGCTTTAACCAGCCTGTTTATATTTAAGGTCAGATCACAAATACATTCTTACTGTATGTGCTAAATATATTTGTATCCACATTTACATTACAGCATGAAAGAAGTCTGAACAACCTAATCTGAAATACAAACCCAAGATCATTTTTTTCCATGAGTTAAGAGCGGTACATTTTTATGTTGGGCTAAAGTCTGCTGCACAGTAACTTTATCATTATACTGTAATTATACCATTTCAATTTATCATTTTGCTTTATAATTAAACTTTGCTGCTCCTTAATAGTAAATATATAAGTGCTTATTCCTCAAGTCTTGCTACTCCCTATCTTGTAGGCAGGGCCCGACCATCATTTGCTTTGTGATTTGTTAAAATATGTATGTCCATCTTGTGTGTAAACTGCTGCAACATTTTTGGATGTTATATAAAGAGTAATAATTCTTCACTCCACATTAAGTTAAACAGAATATACAGTGGTTTTGTATAAATGATCATTAGTGGACAGGACTAAAAAGGAAAAATGTAAAAAGTATTTTTCTTTTGTTTAGGTAAATACTTCATAATGGATAATAATATTTAGCATTCTTAATTTAGCCAGCAGGTGCAGCTATAGGCTTCTTTTTATGTTTTCGTTTGATCCTTTATTGTGAAAAGTCCACTGTTTACACAATTCAACAGCCTAAAGTGACATTAAAGTCTCTTTTTTTCTCCCCCTCCTATGCTGGTGTGAGGACTTACCTTAAATGATGCCTCTTTTTCCGATCATCTTCTTTCCAGTTGTTTTCAGGAGTCCCTCCAATGCTGGTGCCTGTCTCTGATCCAGCTCTGACTGCTGTGTCTTCCTGTCCCACGGAGTCTTTGCGGGAGCAAGCTGCTGGGCTGCCTGCATTGACTTACCCTGTGTCTCTCCTCTTCTCTCGGCCGAAGATCTGTACTGCGCATGCGCCTGCCCCATGATCCTTCGCAGCCACTCAAGAATCTTCAGATCTATAGACGGGAGCGCGTGGTGGAGACACAAGTAGGTTTAAAACTATTTGCTAACTTTTATTTTAATGTTTTTGCATATATCTACTGCTTACTAGCAGTAGATTCATGCAAAAAAACGCAAGGGTTTAATTATCCTTTAAGCTTAAATTTACAAAAGCAAGTGAATAACTCTTTGCAGTGTCACAATACTTACTGGATGGCTCCATTTTATAGTTTAAATTGAAGACCAAAATCCATACCTTCCAACTTTCTGAGATGAGGAAGAGGAACACCTTCCAGCACAATGTATATAGAAAATGAGCACACCCCTGCTGCACCCCTAGTTATGTGGACAATTAATAATTTATATGCCAAAAATGATTGGTTAATCCCAGAATTGTCTTTTTTTCATCATTATGTTTCATTTATACTGGCTTTTCAAATTGGCAAACAAGATAATCAAGAGATAAGATAAAGATTTGAATGCAGAATAACACTTTTGGTATTTAAATAGAACCTTTTCATAGAAATCTGTACATCAGAGCAAAAAGAAGGACAACTGAGGAGGAAGATGGGACAGAGGGATTTAGTTCCAAATGAAGGACAGTCCCTCTAACCAGGGATAGTTGGGAGGTATGCAAAATCCCAAAACTAAATTTTCCATACTGTTGCTGTAAACGTTGGTGTGAAATGACCCTGGGCTTTGAAACGTCTTTAATCATGTAGAATATTCCTTTATTTTGCCCTTTCAGTGATCAGTAGATGTATACATGGCATTGTTATAGAGAGGGTATTGTACTGGAGTTATGAAAGCCCATAGTTTTCCTGCTTGTACATCAGCAATGTCATGACTAAGTGAATTGCTGTCTTTGTATGACAATGATTATATTGGAAAAGAACAAGAATTCTCTGTTATGCGGTAACTGAATAGGAGCGATTAATTACATAACCACACTGATAACTTTGAATAGGCCAACATCTGAACATCACATTGAACTACAGGTTTCCTTTTAGGCCATCATATACAGTTAGAGATGACCACACAACACAAGCTTTTACAATATATACTGCATATGGAGAAAAAGGGGTATCTTAGCAGACTATGGTAAAATACCATTGGTGTAATTAGAAAGCTGGGACCAGCATTTGATGTTTGGCTACAATATTCTGTGAGAACAGAAGCCACAGACAGCCAGGCAATTCTTATTCTTCGAGGGAAATCATCAATAACAGTTTGTGTATTTCTTTCAGCACAGGTTTATTTTAACCCCTTGTCGCATCATTTACAGGGTTATTCACAAAAGGGTGAAGAGTTTGCAAAAGGCAGGAGAAGTGAACAATCTAGGACAACATAGCTGATTTGGAAAAATTCTCCAATTCAGCTCACTTTCCAGTTCAGCTATGTTTTCCTGGATTGTTCACTTCTCCTGCCATCTCCAAACTCTTTACCCTTTTGTGAATAACCCTGTTAGTGTAATAATGATTACATGCTGTACTTTAGCCGTTATCATTTGAACAGACTGCCCATAATATCTATATCAAAAGAGCTTTAAAGTGTGTGTATAGCCAAAAGTTTTCTTTTTGGTCTTAAAACCCTTACTGTTTATGTTTAGTTGTCTGTATCCCATTCCCCTTCATTTCCTGACCCAGAGGCACAACAGCAAGTAAGAGGAAATGTCTACAAAGTGTGAGATATTCCCCTTTTAGAGAATTTTAATGGCAACAGGTGCCCCATGGGAAGATTTGACCCTCACCTCTTTTGGTTTTTATGACAACTGTTACTGTCTCGCTGCCAATGGTCATCAGTGCCACCCATCAGAAGATCTAACCCCTCGCCATTCTTTCAAAAATGTGTTTGGTTTTGGCTAAACAAACCCTTTCATTTGACAGTTAGTCCACCCAAGATTACAATGTTAGTTTTGTTTGGGTGATGGTAAGTTAATAAATATTACACACAGCCTTTTTTTATACACCTTATAGTTCTCAGCATCTAGGTTGCCAAATTTGCCTACCTGCCTCATCCCTTTCAGACTCTGTTGTTTAACATGAACATATGAACAATGCCAGAGGGGTGAGACTCTATGTTGGAGACAGCAGCTGGTAGATCACTGCTCGGAACCCAGGCAAGTATAAGAAGCCACGCAGTGTTTCAGATCCTGTCCTCCCATAACGTAAACCCCAGTTTTAAATAGTCCTTTTAATGTTTAAACTATGTGCCATTGATGGATACTGAAAGCTTTAAGTTAAGGTCAAATTACAAACAACAGCAAGTATATGCGAATGCCAATTTATCAGCAGTGCTCAAAAGGTAGGTTCAGCCTACATACAAAATAAGGACTTCTCATGGTGCATTTCAGTTCCTATCAAGCAATATATATAACACAAATGCAGATGTGGGCTTTTACTTGCTACTATACTGTCACCATATACTAATAATCTGTAATTAAAATGATCAGTCACACCTAAAATATATTTATTTTTTTAATTTTAGGGTAGATGCTGGGGAGTTCAGTCACTCCCTGTTCTCTTGTATCTCTCGAATTTTTGAGATCTCTCTTCTGGAATTCCTGATACCATCATTCCCCATAAGTCATTTTGTTTCAGGGGTCAGGACTCAAGAGAAGAGGTGAGGTAGCAGAAGACTTTCTGTGGGAGTTGCTCTAGAGATATAAGAAGCCACGGGGGATTCCACTCTCAAATTGAAATATCAGTTCTCAGTAAGTTCTGTATATCCTTTAAATATGATTTTGTGTGATGCACCAAGACAGTCATCCTGCCTGGAATATATATTCCCTAGCAGGCTTGAAAGACCTGAAAGTGAAGATGATTGCATAATAGTCACATAACATGACTGTACTGGGTGATGTGTCCTTTCCCTTATCAGTGAAAATGAAATGACTCAGGAAGTATTTTAGAAAGTGTTGTTGACATACAGTGTAAGACTATACACGCAGAGGGCAATATGATGTAATATGATCTATGCTTATTAATAAGGGACTTTCTGGGCGACAACTGATTTATGACTGTAGGATGGCTCTGCAATGTTCCCTACTGCAAACACAACACTAAAACAAGGCTTATTATATTATCAGAAAATACATTTAGAGGTTAAATAAATTAATTTATAATGCAATCTTTTGTCTAATCGTAATTTAAAAAAAATGTGACAGGGAAATCTGTAAAGTTGAAGAATTATTATTCAGATATAACATAATGCATGTGTTATACTTTCTAATGCAAATAATATGGTGTAAAGAGTAATGGTGATATGCCAATTCCAGCAACCCATAGCAACCAGTTTGATTTCAACATTCATCACTGCATGAAAAAGTAAACACCAGAACACATAAAGGGTGATTGTTAACCGCTTGCTGTGAATTACTGCGTCATATACATTGATTGTGTGCAATTCGATTTGAAAAATAAAAAAGCAGTTATTACTTACATTTTCCTAAACTACTAATCCTTATACAGTAAGTAATTAAGCAATAAAAAGTAGCAATTTGTCATTAGTCATAGTGTCATTTTAAATATGAGATATTTACTATATATTTCAATAAAGGTTTAGTAAGCATCAACAAAAATCTATAGTGTATAAAGTATAACTGTTATGTTCTAGCATATGGTGTCAATCTATTGGTAAAAGAAAAAAATGTTCATTCCATTCCCTCATTCCTCTTATAGCCCACTTGTCGCTTCTTAATATTCAGTATAGGCAGGATGTATAATGATCAAAATATGTTGTACTTTGTACTTACAAATGATTTTTGCTACTTTGCATGGATAGATTTTAGACAAATTCTCAATGCTTTGTAAATTAGAGAGATATAAACTTAGTTCTACATTACCCTGAAAGGCTGCAATGCAAACTGCACAGCTACTCTCAATAATATATTAAATAATACATTCAGTGTTCATAACCCAACACATTCACGAGGCACACAGCTGGGGATTACCTCTGACAAGCCACTTTCGATCCAGGATGGCAGTCTGAGAAATGGATATTTTAGGTAGAAAGGGGACAATACTGAAGATGGAAACAAATCAGCTTCTTGGAGGTGCTCCCCAAAACACTGTTCAGAGATCCTGTTTGGTCCAAAGAAGGAGTAAAAGTGGCGGCGAAACCAAGGGTGTTGGATAGTTATATCCATCTTCTTCTGGCTTCTAAAGACAGTTATCAGAAAGAGAACTACTCACTGTTGGAGCTATCCAACAATCCAAATGATCTTATATACAAAGTGGCCAACCTCGGACTCCTCCCTGGTACCCCAACATTGAACTTTCTGGAAAAGAGTTGTCAGATGGCTTAATTATGCCACCACGCTTGCCTGCTCCCATTCAGTAGATAGATGAGGGATATAAGCAGTGGCACATCCTCTATTCAGTCCGCATCCCATTGGATCAGCAGGAAGAGGTTGAGATTATGTCTGTGCTCTCTGCCTCTGTGTTTTGCACATTGGATTAATGGACAGGAGGATCATTTCAGCTACTCTTCTGTAACATGACAAGAGATGAGTTCATTCTCAGATCTGACAGCAGATAGTGTGATCCCAGCATGCTGCAGACAGAGAGTAGCTTATTCATTTCATTACAGTTTTGAATATCTCAGCGCTGGCCCTTTTCCCTTCTGTGGGCTTACTCTGTATACAGTGGGCTGGCTGGAGACTGTTATTTGTCCTCTGCTTATAGAGACTAATGCATTGTTGACCATCTCTGGTTTCTTTTGGGATTTATTCTGTATATACTGTATACATTTATGATTGTGTCCCTGTTTAATTTAGTGGCATTGTTTTTCTAGAATATTAGTGCAGTCAAAACAGTTTTAGTACTGGCTAGATACATCAGTCTGAATTACAGAATACACAATTGTTAATGTGAAACTTAAGCGTAACTGGAAATACTGATGCCATGTCATGTCATCCATTAAAGCGTAACTGGAAATACTGATGTCATGCCATGTCATCCATTAAAGAAACACTGTACTGTGAAAAGAAATGTAGGCTATCACTGCTGACCTGCTTCTGAAAAGGCTAGTTGATTGACTTTCTTTGGCTGCAGTCACAGACACAGAACACGTGTAGATATTGTGGGTCACCTGCACTCCATACAGCGTCATCAACCTTTATCTTAAGAATGGCGGTGCTCGCAGTGATTAAAAGCATGGCACCGTGTGAAACTTCCAAACGTTGGATGCAAAATCACCAGCAATTGCAAACGTATTTTCTTCTTCGGTTTATTGCAGTTGTGTTACATGCGTCATATAAGCCAACATTTCAGGGCCAGGAAGGTCCCTTCTTCAGAGTGACTTCTTCAGGTTTACTATGTTGCCCTGAAGAAGGGTCCATGCGTGGCCTTGAAATGTTGGCTTATATGACGCATGTGTCATAAATTCAACAAACTGAATGAGGAAATACATTAAATACAATCTATCTATAGTATAATCCATGTATATTTCATATCTACAATCTATACCGGACAATGGTGGAAGGGCCCACATTTACAGACTGGTGATGGGGTTGAAAGGGTTGGCAGACAATGATACTTGCCCTGTACTGCTAATTGAAATGTGCGCCTCAATATTTTTTATGGCTAATCCATGAGTGGGTGTGATTTTTCCACCCCAGCAAGACTTTTAATATTTGATTAAAGGTATGCTTTAAAGCATTCCTGTTATTTTCTTTAAAAACAAACAAACATTGAGACACCAGTTCCCTGCAATAAAAGAGCAATTATGCTCAGCTCCCCAGTCGCCCATGTTCACTACCATCTTTCCATTCCAATGTTACAGCCTTTGACAGTCTCTTAAGCATTTGGAACTTACATGAGTGTTGGATGCCTATGTCCCCCTCCCCTTGGGTACTTGCTATGGTTCAGCCCTCCAACCCCTTTGTAATAACAGGACACAGCAGTGAAGTATGGGTCAAAGGATGGAACCACAGCATATGGCAGTAGACATGGGCATCCAACTCTCCTGTTTCCAATGTGTCCAATGCTAAAAAAATCTTACAGAGGCTGCAATGTTGAAACACAATGTTGAAACACAGTGATGGTAGGACACACGGGCTGCCACAGAGGCACATATGGCAGCTCAACTATTGCAGGGAACTGGCCTTTACATTTTTTCAAGCAACTGACATGATGGTTTCCAGAGACAGTTTAAAATCAGAATCAGAAAGGAATTCTGTACTGATTGATGAAAGAAAAGAAAAAAAAGGAAGGGGCAGTACAGTGATACTTTGAAGGTGTATAATCTGTTGATCTGCGCTTATAGATGATTTAATAATCCTGGGAAAAAAGTGGGAGACCAAAGCTGCCACAATACAGGCTAAAAAGGTTGAATAAAGATTTTTGCGGCGCTAAATCACCTTCCGTGTTTAAAAATAAAAATAAGTGAAACAATATCAAGTGCTGTGACAAATGTAAATTCCTCTCTGGTCCTTATTCCAGGACTGTGAATATACAAAAAACTTATTATGGAAAATCAAATAAAGAGTGAAAATGAGGTACCTTTAAGATTAACGTACCATTTAGAAACCAATATTAACCGTGACTTCAATATTGTCCATAAACCATTAAACACAATGTGTACCGCAAGTGTATGCAAAGTAATTGTGTTGGTGCGATCCCCTGTCCGGAAATACAGACCAATAAATATATAAACCTTGGGGTGTACAGTGAATGGATGAAACCAAATCTTTAACCACACATTATACAGTGTAAACTATAAACTAATATTAGTGATCGTCCTCCAAATTCTCTATTTAACGTGCTGGTGCATAAAAGGATGATGATAAAAGTGATCTTCAGGGTGTTACACTCGTAGATCCCCCTAGGCAGTGCTCACTCACTGCATAGAAGTCCTTAAGGAGCTTTACAATCAGCCTGGAGCAGGTATTTAATTCAATTTCTCTTTTGGCACTTCCAGATATTTAAACGCCAGATGGTTCTCATAGGTTAAAAAATCAAGAGAGATCCCTCATGGTGAAGTATGTTTAGAAATTTATTAACAAAAAAGTACATAAAAACTCACATTTAGGGATAAAACCGCCGGTATCTCGTGAGTCTCCGCTCTCACTTCCACATTCGGCGTGACGCTGTGACATACGATAGGGCCTGTATCGTCAGGGCCATCTTTAATATTGATTGGACCCTGGGCAAACATTTTCTTGGGCCCCCTGCCACACCCTGCCCCCGCCATGCAATTTTGTCCCTCCATGCAATATTGCCTGCTATATGCCGACAGCACTGACCCGCGCTGCAACTGGGAAAGATCCCGACAACATTATCAGGATCTACCCCGCTACCTGATTGATAACTGGCTCTGCCTCTCTAGATACAGAGCCAGTGCTGAAGAGGTGGTAGTTGCAGACGCAGCATTAGCACTAGTTTTTGGGGTACAGGGCCCCACAGCAATGACTGGGCCCGGGGCAGCTGCCCCTTTTGCCCTGCCTTAAAGACAGCCCTGCCTATCGTACTTTGAAGGTGTGTGGGAAAAGCAGCTGTACACATGTAATATGGGGAGAGGTGCAGATTGTGGGAGTGATACTGTGCAGAAGGTAGAGGACTGTAAAAACTGCAGGGAGAACACTGCTGTTCACTTGACACCAGTCTAAATTACTATATCACATTCTGATTTTAGGTCCTTATGGTAATTAGAAAGCATGACCTAGCATGAAGACCCTTCCTACCAGCTAATGGTCCGGAGCCATGGGTACACATTTGCTCTAAAAAAATAATAAGTTGTTACACAGTAATGCACAATTTCCCTTTTTCGAAACACAGACCAACTCTGTCCCTTTGCTGTTGGTTTAAAAATGGATAATGCTGCCTGAACTGTCTGGACCTTATGGTTATGACACTTGGAAAACATGTATTTATCTACACAGTGTTCCTCTGATGACATTGCTGCTTGCTACTTTTACAAATAAAAGCAGTTGACTCAAGTTGTCACCTGACACTTGGATGTTTGTCCACCAGGAATGTGCAGCTGGTACAGAAATAAACAGGCACGTACAACAGAGGAGACATTGTATTGTAGAGAGACTCTGGTGTGTTTTCATTTGGCCAAGAATCCATTTTTTCAGTCTAATAACTCTTCTGCAGTGAAGCTAGTATATACTGTTATATACTGTATAATCAGATAAACAAGCATATTCAAGATCAGGTGAAACTGCAGAAACTCACTTATCGACGGATTAGATTCCATGTTAAGTCAGTGAAAGGTTATTTTTAGCAGACTATAACAGAGTGACAATGGACCATGCTTGTGTAATTTGTGTTGGCATGACTGCTAGCGGACTGTGACAGTGTGACAATGAACCATGCTTGTGTAAAATGTGTTGGCATGATCTCTAGAAGGCTGTCACAGAGTGACAATGGACCATGCTTGTGTAATATGTGTTGGCATGACTGCTAGCGGACTGTGACAGTGTGACAATAAACCATGCTTGTGTAATATGTGTTGGCATGACCACTAGAAGGCTGTAACAGAGTGACAATGGACCATGCTTGTGTTGGGATAACCTGTAGAAGGCTGTAACAGAGTGACAATGGACCATGCTTGTGTTGGGATAACCTCTAGAAGGCTGTAACAGAGTGACAATGGACCATGCTTGTGTAATATGTGTTGGCATGACTGCTAGCGGACTGTGACAGTGTGACAATAAACCATGCTTGTGTAATATGTGTTGGCATGACCACTAGAAGGCTGTAACAGAGTGACAATTGGACCATGCTTGTGTAACATGTGTTAGCATGACTGCTAGCGCACAAGTGTAATACAGGGAGTGGGACAGAGCATTGTCATCCCATAACAGGAAGTGCCTGAACAAAGACTCATGGCAAAATTGCAAAAAATGATTTTAATGAAGATTCAAAAAGGTTGAAAATATATTTTGAAAATACATTATTATGTTAAAGATTACATAATATAGACTATAAACACAATACAAATTAACTAACTAAACGTGAGATTGTAGTCCATCATGGGAGCGAGCTTGGAGTGGTGTGTACTTTACAACACACACAGGGACCATGGGGAACAAAAGTAGCCACCCTCCAGAAGGAAGGACAGTGTTATTAGCACTGATTCAGAGATGATTTTGAGGATCTACAGCCGAGTGATACACAAAGATACATTTTTGTTAACAGTTAAGGTACTTGAAAGCATTTTTGAGATTTAACTCATGAGTTTAGTGTCACTTTAAGCACATTCATAAACAAATGCCAAAATTATACAGATAGTCAGCATCCATTTAACTCATTTCAAAAAAGGTTTTACTTGTTTGATTAAATTCCCTCTTCAACAAGCTGGGGAAAGAAGAAACACAGATAGATAAAATTTCACATGCAGTAAACTGGAGTCATATAGTTGGCATTGCTTTATACTAAAAGGGAGGGACTGGGTGCTATAGTAATAATTGGGTTTATTGTTTTGCAGTAAGAAGACACCACTGCAAATACGAGTAAACCATGGTTCAATGAGAGCATAACTTCAGACTCTGGCACCTAGCACTAACCATTCTGCCAGCTGTAAATTAGAAGACACAATAAACCTGTTTTTTTTTTTTACAGTTTATATATATATAAACCTT